TAGATAGATAGATAGATAGATAGATAGATAGATAGATAGATAGATAGATAGATAGATAGATAGATAGATAGATAGATAGATAGATAGATAGATAGATGAAACTAAATACTCTTACTTTTCCCACACTAATTAAGAGGGTAAGTTGCAACCACTTAGCAGTTTTAGCAGTTTATTGTTTTTGTTTGGTATTCAGCTGCGTATTAACGCAACACTAAGAAAGAAAGACATCATCGATGATCTTTTCTCAAACTGAGAAAGAAAGGAATCAGGGTGTTGCACTGGGCCAATCAAAGTCCTGACTTCAACCTGACTGAAATGCTGCAGCGGGACTCTAACAGAGCTGTGAATAAATGAATGCCAGCAAACCTCACTGTAAAGGAGACTGGTCCAAATTTGCTCCATGATGATGTGAGAGACTGGTAAAAGTCACAGAGAAAACACTTACTTGACTCTGTTGCTGTTAAAAGTAGTACAACAAGCTGCATGTTGCCTTAATTTATGTTAAATAAATAATTTCTTTTTACCATGACTGTGAATACAAAATGCAGAAATAAATACAATAATAATTATTAATAAAAAAATTAATTCATTGACTATAAGATTAGATAAAAAATTCAAATAATAGTAATAATAATAATACGATATGAGAGTAAACTCATTAAATTAAAAAATTATGTATACATTTATGTTTAATCACAGTGTGTCATGGATTTAATGGGCGACTTATTGATTTTAGTTTTATTAAGTATATAACTTACTATTACTGTAATACACAGTTGTCACACAGCTAGCAAGTTATAATTGAGCCCTATAATCTTCATGTATTAATAAGTTCTGATTTATATTATTTTTACAGAGAGCCTTTCATCTATTTTATCCTTTTGTGTCAGTGACTATTGACATTAAGCCATGGATTGTTGCAAGAGGAATACTGATCTCTGTGGTTTGTTTTCTGCAGTGCGGGCTATGACGCTGTCCTGGACAGAAATGTAGCCATCAAGAAGCTGAGCAGACCCTTCCAGAACCAGACCCATGCCAAGAGGGCATACCGGGAGTTGGTGCTTATGAAATGCGTCAATCACAAAAATGTAAGCGATTCAAACGAGAGGTAACAAAGGACCAAAGGAAAATGTATCCCGAATTGAATGAGATGCAGTTTAAAACTGCACCCCAGTCTGAGTCTATTTCTGGCTCCTGCTAAATCCCTTTGCTACAAAAGCAGACAAGTCGCAGCGACGTTATGACCGTGCTAAATTCCATGCCTCCAGAAATGTACTAAACTGGCAAGAGACTGAAACAGAGAGTGCTTCAAGGCATGGATGTAATCACCAGTGCCGCAGTTTGTGCTCTTCTGCCTCTTTTTTCCATCCTCCACATTTATCCCCACTCTTTTGTTTCGTTTCGCCTCTCTGGTTTACTCTGTCTCTCACTCAGCGGTGTCCTTCAAGAGGGTCATTACTAACTTGTGCCCACAGTCCCTTGCTTTAATGTCTTTTCTTGTATTTTTACTGCTCGTTGTTGACCCTGTTCATGCTGTTCTCTTTTTCAGATTATCAGTTTATTAAATGTCTTCACACCACAGAAATCATTAGAGGAATTCCAGGATGTGTAAGTATACTCAGGAAAAAAATGAGCAAGAAAACGAAACGTGTGTTCATTTAAAATGCCAGACAAAATACAGGGAGTCTATTTACACTACATTAGGTGCTTATTACTCCTTTGCACCTCATTCGTTTTTGACAACTATTCGAGTGGAATCAGTGAACGTACTGTAGGTGTAATGTGAGGCAGCCGGAGGTGTCCTGTTTCCATAATGAATGATAAATGAGAGTGAATTCACTTTTAGAACAATATCTGTGTAAATAGTACCAGAGTGAGAGTTATCGGCCCACGTGGAGGCTTTCAGTTTCTCAGCAGTAACTCGTGGGCCACACATCTCACAAGTGTGTCAACCATTCATGCATAAATTAAACTTTTTTTGTTTTTGTTTTTTAGGTATCTAGTGATGGAACTAATGGATGCCAACTTGTGCCAGGTGATTCAGATGGAGCTTGACCATGAGAGAATGTCCTACCTGCTCTACCAGATGCTGTGTGGTATCAAACATCTGCACTCAGCCGGCATTATTCACAGGGTAGGAGAGCAAGCCTGCTCTGTCTTCTTCTTCCACTGCTGGATTTGGTTTGTGTCGTGTGCTTTTAAATCTTCAGCAATGTCAATATATTGCACACGTTTTGTGCCATCACCTCAATCGCTTTAGTGAGAAAACGCTACAGAGACCAGGGCTGAGAAGCGGGAACAAGTGCGCACTGGACTCTGCAGGTTTTGCGTGCCACATGCATGAAGGCAGACAGCATTTGCATTTGTAGAAAGCGCCTTCCCTATGTCAACAATAATTTAGTCCCGACATTGCTGCAGTTCAGAATTACCTCCTGTAAAAAAGCAAATTGTTGTTCTAACACCCCGAGTTGTGTGAGGATCAAACAAAGAAAATATGTGTTGATAGAATTTTAGAGTTGCTGGAAGGTTTGTTATCATCAGAGCGAGGCAGTCTAGTTCATCCTCGTTCTTTCATTTCCCTTATTTTCCACGTTTTTGTTCTATTCCCTTAAATGAAAAACTGAAGTATTATACTAAAGAGTCTCTTACATGAATCATTAACAAACAATAATTGTTAATAGACTTTCTGTGAATAACAGCAGGAAATAATCATTAATATACATTTTTTCTCATTTCCCATTGCTTTTGCCAGGATCTCAAACCAAGCAATATAGTGGTGAAATCAGACTGTACCCTGAAAATCCTGGATTTCGGTCTGGCTAGGACTGCAGGCACCAGTTTCATGATGACCCCGTATGTGGTGACCCGATACTACAGAGCCCCAGAGGTCATACTAGGAATGGGATACAAGGAGAATGGTGAGATTAAATAGAGTCATGGTATTTAATTTTTATTAGTATTACTATTTGCTTTTAGATCCAAGTACAACTGTAACTGTACACTGCAAATTGTAAATAAAAACAGAATGTGATGACTTGCAAATCTCATTAATCCATATTTTATTCACAGTAGTACACAGAAAACATATCAAATGTTTACACTGTGAAAATGTGCTATCAAAAAAAATCAAAAACGCTCAAGCTAAACAAATGGCGGGAAAAGTGGTACAAAAAATGGTAATAAAGTGGTAATAAAAAATTTTCTAATATGATATATCATCAATTACACTTTGTAGTTTATTGGCACTTTTTTGCACTTGGTTATGTTCTTGCTGTGGCAGTGAGCCAACATAAAACTGATGTGGGGGAAAAAAGCCTTTGAAATGTTTACATTTTAAGAAGCTAATTACGGCTCTATGTGTTTTTAAACCATCTACGATCTGAATAATCAAACTGCTCACATGTGCAGATGATCGTTTGATGATGATTCCAAATTAAAGTGTCATATCATTAACTTTAAAACCTTATCAACAATTCTGGTCGAGTGACTTAAAGTGCTGGAGTTATGAGTCACTGATTAAAAGCCCCCAGAACACGTGACTGAGTGCCAGCCTCAGTGACTCATTAGCCATATATCTCTGAAGAAGGGAAGCCTGAAAGCTCCAGGGCTTTGAATTTCCTGCCACTAGTTAGTCTATCTGAGGCGCTGCTTCACTGTACTTCACTCTGTTCTGTCTATCTCTGTATTCCATTCTGATTTGAATCCTGAAACATGCCTCTCACTAATTATTCCTCTCTCAATTAAAACCAGTTAGCATCTGATCACTAATGCCAGTCTATGAGCTGTCTATGGACAACACTAACCTTTGCTTTCCCTCCTTGTGTTTTGCTCCCTCTGTGTCTCATCCTCACCTCTATGCGTGCAGTGGATATTTGGTCGGTGGGGTGCATTATGGGAGAAATGGTGCGCCACAAAATCCTTTTCCCTGGCCGGGACTGTATCCTTGTTAATAAAAACAGATCAATTCTTTGACTGTGGCTTTTTACATGTTGTAGTTTTGCTCATAAAAGTCAAGTGACACTCACACTGAAAATAGTTTTTTTAGTTTAAAGTATAAGCAACCATGTTCAGTTTTGATTGATTGTGATGCTCTCTGAAAGCACCTGAGAGTATCTGGAAGTGCTATGCCAGCTAAGGAAAAAGAAGCTGCCGCCATGCAAGCAGGTAAAGATCTTAGAAATATAACTTTTAAATGGTGTTTTGGTCAAGCAGATACTGAGCCTGATGTTTGCTGTATGTTACTGAGGTGAACTAAACCACACTCACATCTGGCTGGCTTGTAACACAGATTTATAGCAACAACAACTTATCTTCTTTAACGCTTTTCACTTAACCTAGTAACATCATAAAATGCTCTTTTCAATGCTTTTTTTCAATGGGAAGAGGAAATTCTTTCTTACCTTATTTCTGAATATTTAAATGTGTGCTCTTAGAGTGCTACCTGGTGTTTTCTCTTGCAGTGATCGGGGTGTGATTGCATCCCTGAGAAGACTTCCTTCAGTAGGGTGGATTTGTAAAAATAGTCCCTGTGCTGGAGTTGAGGGCATGCGCACATATGGGATGAGGACATCTACATGTATGAGTCAGGAATGCTAATTAAATATTCAGTAATGAGTGAATAATATTGAGTATTCCCTTTGAGCATGTGTAAATAGCAGCCTGGTTGAACTCAATTAGCAGTGGAAAGTTCAAAGGTTGAAAGTGTAGTCGATTAGCACATAGTAATTCCCCTGTAATTAAATGAAGTTATTTGAAATTACAATGTAATTATATTCACCCACAAATACTTAAAGACAGATACGCAATTAGGGGTGTCAAACAAATGCTAAAATGCTTAAGTAAAAATTAATTTTAAGTGCAGACATCAAACATTTTCCCATCTTACATCGTAAACACACTGTACTTTTCAGGCCAGAGGTCTTATTATGGATTGGATTAATGTTGCCTTTTGATATCTTTATTTAATATTTATAAAGTTGATGTGCATGATGGATGTTCTATTATTCAACTGTCCTTTTATTCTACCAATATATATGTAATAAGGACTGTTCCCACTCACAGTCCTTATCACATATATATTGGGGTGGCTGTAGCTCAGGTGGCAGAGCAGGTCAGCCACTAATCAGAAGGTCGGTGGTTCGATCCCAGGCTGCATCCTGGCTGCATGCCAAATAACCTTGGGCAAGATACTAACCCCATGTTTGCCTACTGGTGGTGGTCAGAGGGCCCGGTGGCGCCAGTGTCCGGCAGCCTCGCCTCTGTCAGTGCGCCCCAGGGCAGCTCTGGCTACAATGTAGCTTGCTATCGCCAGTGTGTGAATGGGTGAATGACTGAATGTAGTGTAAAGCGCTTTGGGGTCCTTAGCGACTAGAAAAGCGCTATACAAATACAGGCCATTTACATTTACCAACTTATGAGAAAACATAAATACCATCAAAACTTGTAGGTGTGTGACCTTATATTGATGGAGCCAAGTCGAACTTGATTCATTTTCTTTCACAATCACTATTCAAAAATAACTTTCAGGAAATTTCAAGTTATTTTAAATTTTAAGGTTAAGGCTACTCCATAATACAAAAGCACAACATGCTTACAATGTAAGATTGGCACATTTTGTTTACTTTTCTACAAAATTATGTAGAAGTTAGTAGTTAGTGCTTGCAGTACAATTTGTGTTTCATGTCTAAAAACATCCTCAGAATTCTGGCACTATGTAAAGTAACTCATGCTGTAATTAAAATTACTTACAGACTACTTGAATTCACTTACAGTATATTCTTTTCTTTGTTTTGTGTAAAATCCTGACTTGTCATTCCTTATTTTAGTGTACCTACCTTTACGTATTTTTAAGTAAATATAATGACTCTGTAATTTCAAAGAAATACAATGAAATGCCATTTATTTACAGGGGAATTAGTAAAGAGCCATATTATAATCTGTTACCTTAGCAAGTAATTAAGATGAAGAATAAAGTGCTATAGGTGGGATAACCTATATTTTACCAGTATCAAATCACACATGCCTTTTAAAGACTGAACCCAAAGAGCACCATAAATTCAGACACGCAGATTGGCTACAACCTACTGCTGTAAGGCTTGTGTCTCATCCCCAGTTGAAAACAGTTTCTAACAAATACACAATTTAATTTGGAATTAGAGGTAAAAGATTCCGACCCTTTGCCTGAATTCAGGGGGAACAAATGGCAGTGAAAGCAAAGCCATTTTCATACGTTTTGTCGTTGTCACAAGTCTGAAGCAAACCATCTCCTGTTGTGTTTTCACGTGTCGCACACAACAGAAGATTGCGTCAAAGTTGTTCTCACCAGTATAAATACTCAATTGATTTAGGCGGGGGTGCTGCCTGAATACAGAGTACTGGGTGCAGGAGACGCAATGCCCTATTGTTTGTTGTGAATCCATTAAACAGTTATCTGTGCTATTCCCCGTGAGGTAAAGACCATTTAATGTCTGACAGCACTTAGGCGCTTGAAGGGATTTCTTTGCACTTTGCATGCAGATCCAGTGCCTACCTGTTCAAATATGAAACATGAAGCTCACAGGACTGTTTGCAGATTCTTGTAATTGATTAACTTTTTGTTGTTTAGGAACCTCGAGCAAATTCTGTTTGAGGGTCAATATTCAGATAATTAACACATTTATTAGGACCAGAAAACAAACAAAAAGTAGCACATATATCATACAGTGGTAGTACCACTAACTGTGCTCTCTTTTCATGTAGCTGCTAGCGTTTTTGACAGTGAACTGAGATTGATCACAGCCACACATGGCAATAGTAAAGGTAATACTCTGCTGTCTGCAGCCCTGAGCACTGGGTCCCTGAAAGATTAATGTTCTGGAAAGCTAGAGAAACCCAGCAATGAGTCAAGCAATATCTTTCTCCGCTGTCTCTGCTCCCAAAATGACCTAAAAATTCGTATCATTTCATCACTCCATACCTTTTGCTTTAGATCAATAAAGTAGAGTCATGCACACTTTTGTTAATCTTCTGCTTATAGATCAGTTCTGGACTGGTACCCTGTTGTCGCAAATCTTAATGTATTTCATTGATTTTTCAACTTAGAACTATTGACCTGGCTAAAGTCTACACGTCCCAGAGTGTCTGTCAAATGATACAGAGTAGGTAAGAGACTACCGGTAAAAGCCCAGTGGGCTACAGGGTTACTGGTTGTTCTGTGATGGATGAGTGGAGCAGTGTGTTTATTAATAAGTTATATTGGAGGTCTTGGAGGAACCAAAGGTGGATTTTACTGTGGTCAATAAGCTTGAAAATATATTCTCTCTAGAGAAGGTGAAATGATTTTAACATTTCCTTCTGTACAGAGGTCTTTTTTCTACTTAGTAATCATACAGCCACCATTACCTCCTTTGTTCTTCAAGTTTTAAAATGTGGCTGACTTTTGTTTTAAAGTACCTCTCTGCAGAAATGATTAAGCACTGATAGTTCGGATAGCATTGCTGACTGGTGTTGGCCTATTACAGATGCACTGTATGGACACAAGTATTGGGTCACGCTGCTTAATCTTTGAACTTGGGTGGAATTTTGTGTTTGTTTTGTTGCCAACTTTGTTGCCACAGGGGTATAAAACCAAGAAAGAATGGGTGGTTCTGAAGAGCTCACTGAATTTCAGCGTGGTACTGTAATAGGATGCCAGCGTTGCAACAAGTCAATTTGTTCCCTCCCAGATATTCCACAATCAGCTTCCACAATCTTCCACTCCCCCATGAAGTGGCAGACCATGGTTGCCAAGTGCTGAGGCACATAGTTTGGCACTCCAGACCTCCTTTGGCATTAACATCAGCACAAAAACTGTGTGCTTGGAGGTTGGGGAGGCACCGGTTTCCAAGGCCAAACAGCTGCATGCAAGCACTATATCACTAAGTGCAAATCCAAGTATCGGATGAAGTGAGTAAATCACTGGGTTCTGGAAGAAACTTGTTCTGTGGATGGGCGAATCATGGTTTTCTATCTGGCAATCTGAAGCATGAGTGCATTGCATTATGCCAACTGTAGAGTTTGATGGAGGAGGGATGAACTACAACAGAGTCTGTGAGCCAGGCCCTTTTGTCCAACAGCACTCTGTGACCTTCACAAAAGGTCTTCTGGATGAATGGGCAAAATTCCCACAGGCACACTTAAAAATCTTGTAAAAAGACTTCCCAGAAGAGTGGAACCTGTTACAGGTGCAAAGGAGGGACCAACTCCATGGCTTTAGAATGGGATGTCAGAAAATCTCCCGTGGGTGTAGTCAAATAGGTAGCCTAAAACCTTTGTGTATACAGCACATATTGGTATTTCATTGATGTATATGTTATGATATACTATAGCAAATTAGGCTTGAACAACCCAAAATAGCTTGTTGTCCAAACAGGGCTTAAGGTTGTAGTATAGCTCAAACTGTTCCAGGGTGTTTAAGCGTTATGTGCTAACTCTGTTGTCACACCTAATAAACAGCATATGTTTCTTTTCCTTTTCTATTTTCCTAAAAAATAAGTTAAATATATTACACAGCATTAGTGTGTTATTTGATTTTCTTCTGAAGTAATAATGGTATGTTTGCAGGTACTCTATTTCTGGTTGAAATTCTCAGTATTTCTAAATGGGGACTTTAAATTGGAGGCCAATGTGTTTGTGTCACTGGTCTGCTTAAAATGTGCCTTAGAGTATCTTCACCCTGACAAAAAAACCCTCCCTGACCATTTTTAAAAAATGTAAACACTTTGCTATTTGAAAAAACGGAGAAGGAGAAATTTTCATTTAAAGAAACACGCAACACATTTGTGCCAAGTAAGGAGACACAGCTTAACAATTACCAGTGTGTTCTGTATTTAATTATATTAAATGGATCAAATTACAAAGTGACTGGGTTGGCTCCTAGAGAATTGTTGTTGGGGTGTACACCCTCTCTGCAGCTTTACAGAGCTTCATAGTGTTTTTTTAAACACTGTTGAGCTGTCTAGCCCCAGTGCATTGCTTTCGCTGTTAGCCGGGGGCCTGTTTTCTACAAAAAAAGAACAAAAAACAGCTGTGATGACTCACTGTAAGCAACCTGCCCTAAGGACAGATGCAGTTAGCAGATAGCTGGTGAACATCTGGTCGCTAAAGAGTCACATATTCCTCTCAGCAAATGTTTGTGTTTGTGTGTTTATGTGGGTGCGTGTGACCTTAGTGGACATGTGGTCAGTCGGCTGCATCTTTGGAGAGTTGATAAGAGGGACAGTGCTGTTCCCTGGGACGGACCGTATCCTTCCTCCCTCTGTTAGAAATGTAAACCTGAAGGCAGCAGGAACCCTGCAGCGTTTTTTCGAGGGCAGTTGCGAATGACTCTGAGTCTATCGAGCATCATGCGTTTTGGCACTGACATGCTGAGAAAAAACAAAAAAAATCACCTCGAGGTGTCAGAGCGAATCCAACTGCTTGCTGAAGAGCCGTGGATAAGAGTCTTAGTGGATTAAAAAACCCCGCTTTACTAGGCACTGGGTGGATCATGGCCAGTGTGCAATAGAGACAAAACGGAGATGGAAGCGTGAGACGTTCCAGCAAAATGAAGTAATAGGGATCTATAGTGGCCTCTGGCAGCTCTCTGCCCTAACTGGCACTCGGTGTGAGAACATTAGGAGGGGAAGGTTTGGAGTGTGTCGAAGGATAAGAGAGGAAATATTTGTTGTAAGGAAGGAAGTGAAAGAGAAGCTGATACAACTACTGGACACACGGCTACATTTATACCGTACACGTGTCTTTTAATCCAATCAGTCATGTTTTCATCAAAAGGTTTATTATTATTTTTTTATTTTTAGAAACACTTAACAATGGCTGGAGACAAAGAAAAACAAAAAGAATAAAAGGATTTTTGTTTTTTTTTATAGAAATCTTGTGTTTTTCACCATTTAGAAGTCAGCTGGGGTTTTTTTCCCTAATCCTAATGAATACTTCTTTTGGTGGTTAAGTGGGAAACAGCTGATTTGAGATTAAAAATTATTAATTTATCTTGGTCACAGCACTTTGTAGCACTCCTTTTTGTGCTTTTAAATGGAAAATGAAGCCAGAATTGTATTGTAGTGTGATACCTGAGGGTACACTGAGCTTTGCAGGGTGACAGGATGCTCTGTATTCCATGTGTGTTTCCCTTGATCTTGGCCTTCCACACCAGATATTGATCAGTGGAACAAAGTGATCGAGCAGCTGGGCACGCCCTCGCCAGAATTCATGAAGAAACTTCAACCCACAGTGAGGAACTATGTCGAGAACCGGCCAAAGTACGCAGGCCTCACCTTCCCCAAACTCTTCCCCGACTGCCTTTTCCCTGCTGACTCTGAGCACAACAAACTCAAAGGTAAGAACCTCTAATTATACACAGGGAACCTGTGAACTTAGGCTATTGCACTTTAGCCATTTCATTAGCTTCCAGTATGAGTCTTTGAAGGTCTTTTATTGAACCTTTGCACAAATATGATGTCTGTCGATTAAAGTCTTCTTTAGGACATCATAGCACTTATCACTCTGACAGGCAGTCATTCTGCATGTATTTTTAATTTGTGTAATATACTAGGATATTAATAATTAGAGCTATTTGTATGTATTTTGCTTTATTTTGTATCTTTGTAGTATATTGTCTTATTTAATATAGCTGTTTTGGAGCAACTGCGACTATATAATTTTCTCAGGGATTAATAAAGTATTTCTGAATCTAAATCTGACGTTACAGGTGACTTTGCTTCTGACTTTCCATTTAGTTCATTAGGTTTATATCTTTGTTTATAACTTCCACAATTTATGACATTTAAATGTTGTTTGCATGTTAACTCTGTAAATATGCTATTCTTATTCTCAGCATTTTAGCTGCTCTGTGAGTACATATCACCTAGCAGCTAAGATGGCTATACATTTTGTTCATTTCATGTATGCTGTAGTATGTCAAAAACGAAGTATAGCCTGCTTCTATAGAATATGAGAGGGTAAGTAGTAGCCAGGTGCGGCAAATTAAATGTACTTGATTAATTTGTCATCAGCAAGTGTGAGAACCTCTATAGAAACCGAAGATTTTAACAGTTTGTTGATCTTGCTAGGACTGGGCATCTCAGCAAATTAACCCTAATGTTGAACAGTGACCATGAACTGTGTACCAAAGTATTTTAGAATCACATGCAAGGCCATCTGTCTGACAGCTAAAGCTTTGGGTGATTCAACAGACAACGATCCCAAGCACAGCAGCAAATCTACACTCAATGCCCAAAAAGTCTCAAATTCAGAGTCTCAAAACTCAATTAAGTTATTGCTGCTAAAGGTGGACGCACAAGCTACTGAATCGTCAGGTGTATTTAGTTTTTTAACAGGACTGTACTTTTACATTTTATCTTTGGTCATCCTCCGAGCATCAGTAAACTGCAGTATGTTAATCCTGTACCGTGTGAGCCGATTTCAATCGACTTCTTATGCAGAGTGTTAACTGAGATGTTGTTTCTTCTGTCTCAGCTGAGAATTGAAGGCATCAAAAACATTTCCCATGAGCTATAAAAAAAATATGCTTTTAAAAAAATATTTCGCTCTTCGGCTCCCACATCAAAGCTCTCGAATGTTGAAATTCTAATGAATCGCTTTTGTATTCAAGCTGCTCCCCGCTGGAGTGACACTGTTAAAGGAATACACCGAAAGAGACAGACAGAGTGAGAGGGTGTGAGACCAAGATGAAGTGTTTTGTGTGTTTTGTTTTGTGACAGGTAGGAAGTGAGTCAGACATGAGAGAAACATCCTTTGGGTTTTATTTATTTTAAACCTTAGGGGGAAGACAAGTCACAGTACTGTAGGACAGAGGGAATGAAAGAGAGGTAGGTAAGGAATAAGGAAAGGTGAAAGGAGAGAGACAGAGGAGCTATTTTTTCAAGTTTATCATCTTTTTGATGCTGTGGTGATGCTCAAAGGGTACGCCCAGCTCATCTGTCTGTACTTGCTTCAGCTTCTTCGTTCCTCTGCTGCTGGAGATTTATTTATAGTGAAGGTCAAGTGTGTAGGAGAGGAAGTGTCGTGTGGTTTTAGGGTTTCAATTTCAGATCAGTTCAAAATGGCCAGAGGATAGAGAGTCTGTGTACTGGTAATGCTTATTGAAATTTTTGCTGATAGATGTCCAATTTACTGCAAACTGCAAAAGAACAAGTTGACTGGCAACATCTGCAACAAACAGGCTTAATGTTTAATTAAAAAATATATATGGGACAAACTGAGGAGATATCTGGATGGTTGATTATTAAAGAATTATCTAGCAATAATTCAGATTTCAACTAGTCTGCAGATTAAATACTTAAAACCCAATAAACCCCGTGAAAATTCTGTGAAGCCTTTTTGATTTGCCTGCCCCAATAACAAGTAAAACACAAATATATATATAAAAAAAAGTTTGGCACAATTTATTCATAACAACAACAAAAACAGTTATAAAGTTACAACATCAGTTACAAAGAGATACACATATCCCAGCATACAAACACATGGCCAAGCCTGAGTCATGCTTCCATGTAAGCAAAATTTAAGGAAAAGCTGACTTACAAAGAGTTTCAACAGTTGATTCAGTCAGCCAAAGTTTAGACGCTAAAAGCTCAAACGTGTCATCATCTTGGGACTTACAATAAGAGTGTGGAACACTTAGAAGGCCCTGACCTGATCACTGGAGAGGCCCATCAGCTATATAAGCAGGTGCCTGGCCTTTCATATGTAATTAGTAGAAGTTTAAAATTTCACTGGGAAAGAAGAACTAGTTTTTGCCTTGACTAATTGAAGATGGGCTAAAGAGGGCTGAGAGATGTGCATTCAGAGTGAATTACAATAATCAAGATACAAGAAAAACTATAGCGTGTAATAAAAGTTTGAGATTATTGGCTGACTGTATAGCAGATGGTCTGATACTGCTGTTTTAGAGGACTAGTTTGACATATGTCCTCCTTAGAGAAGCTGTCAGGGCCAAACATGAGAACCTCAGTTTTGTCACTATTGAGCTGGAGGAAATTTGATGAAGGAAAACAAAAGAAATAAACTGGAAAATCAACAAAAATAAGAAATAAACAAACCTTTCTATTCTCAGGTTGTGAGATTACTGTACTCATCCTCCAGAGGTCACCATTAATGCATCTTTGACTATTAAAGACTATTATTATTAGTAGGAGTATTAATATTATTATTGTTGTTATTACAATGCTAATTCATTGAATCTTGGATCTTTATTTAATTTTTTGACCATCGATTACCTCTAATAACCACACATGCATGCTTATATTTTAGATGTTACCCATATCATTTATATCAACTCACGGTAGAATCTGGTTTCTAGTCACAAGCTCCTGTTAATTATTCTCTTTAATCCCTGACATTTCCCGGTCTCTCTCTCTCCTCCCTCTTCCATTACCTGTGCTGTTTGGCATGTAATACTTTCTTGTTTCATCAAAACATCTAAATATCGTTTTTTTCTTTTTAATTTTTTTTTTCAAACTACAGCAAGCCAGGCTAGAGACTTGCTGTCTAAGATGCTGATTATCGACCCTGCTAAGCGGATGTCAGTGGATGAGGCCTTACAGCACCCCTACATCAACGTGTGGTATGATCCGGCTGAGGTGGAGGCGGTGAGTAGGACTTCAGCAGAGCTGCGTATCCATTACCATCCCAAGCTAAATCCTCCTCACCCCGCCCCTCCCATGTTTTAATTTGTACGCACTGATAGTGATTTATAGCATGACTAAACTGCATTGTTTTAACCGCTTGCTATTTTGATAACTTTTGTTCACATCTAATTTGCATTTTTTCCCCCCTCACTTATATTTTTAGTCTTTAGTGCAGAACCAAACGTTTTTGTAGATTTCTGTAAAATAACCCAAAGTCTTTGCTGGTAAATTTTCATGCTACACTGAAAGATTTATATAGTGGGTTGTTGGGTCTTGTAACATGAGAGGGGTGGTGTTGCTGGTTGATTTGGTGAAATCTGGCGTCTTCATCAGCGCCTCATTAGTATGAGGTGACAGTGAGATTGGGTAAAACGCCATCTGCAACCCGAAAATTTTTTACAGCAGTACAAGTAATGAGAGCATGACCAGCTGATGAATGTCAGTGCTGCTGTTCTACTACGTGAAATATCCTGTTGCCTAACACATTCACTGTATAGTAGTTTTTCCTCCTTTATAGAAGATTTCATGACTATGGCCTTGTCTTGTCATCTGGTGTCTGATGGTTTTTAAAGATGACTTTGTTGCTTCTGTTGATGTATAACATGGCTGTGAATGGCATTTCAACACGTTTTCTGCTGTTTTCCCCCCCTTCTCTAATGTCACCTCATCCTGATGAAGGCCAGAGATAACATCCAAATATCCATGGTAAATAACAAACTCCCTACATCAAAGAATGCACTGCAATTGGACTTCTTCGACTAAAGAGTGTAAATGAAAGAAGATTTTTTGGACACATGTGGTTCAGTGCTTCTGCCATATTTGAAGATATTTAAAATCAAGAGAAAAGAGACTGTGTAATGCAAAGAGAGGAGCAGAAAATGCCAATCAAATGAAACATCCAGAATATCTGGATATTGCAGTAATCACAGACTGTATATAAAAGATGGAAGTAACTTCTGGGTCTGAGAAGTGAAGCCAGTGCAGAAATGACCCTACTGTTCTCTTGATCTATGATGTATATGTTTATTTAAAAGAGATAATGCATATAAATTACCACATTAAATTCATCATGTTAATATGCCAGATTTAGCCACATGGGCTAATTGTTATGTGTGGCTCGTGCCAGGTTGAATGAATCAACAAAACAATGATTGTGAGCATAATTAAACAGACACAAAAACATGTAAAATAAAACACCAATATAATATATAATATAAAACGAATATTATTCTTAACTAAAAGTAGCACAGTGCTATTCAGTAAATACTGTACTGACTTTATGGTAACTGTCAGGAGTTTAAAGTCTTTTTAGTACATCAACATGTTATTTTTGTAAATGATGGTTGAAATTAAAGTAAAATAGATGATAAAGTGAGTGCTTTATTGTGCAATAACCTAGTGACTAACTCGTTGGTACTATAAGAGTACACAGTGTCCTGGTTTATTAGTCATTTTCACTTCATGCTTTTCATTTTGTAAATCAAAATGCAGCAGACTTCAAAACAGATATCCACCAACTAATGGGTCACATCAGGGTGGTTATGTCCATCTTTTGTATACAGACCGTGTGCTGTTTTCAGTGGAGCTCAAAGTAACTGTCACATATAAGCAGTCATTGTCAAACTGCACATGCTTCACTCTGCACATAGACCAAAACTCGTATGTCACAGGAAACCTAATCTATTCATTAAAAAAAATCGTAATAGAATACAAGGTTTTAATATTTACTGTAAGAATTTGTTTTGAAGAGAGCTCCTTAGCTACTTCCACAGCTCCACAGCGTTAACATCTACAAACAGTTGGTTTGTCCTGCTGTGGCTGACCCATAACAGTCCCCTCAGGGTTACACCAGAGAGGTTCCTTGGTGGTCGTGTCACCCACACTGACAAAGATGGGCAGGATTACGATGTCGGAGTCTGGGGAATGAGTGAATGAGTAGTTAGATGGGCTGACTCGATGCCAGTCAGCGTATTCTTGACCTAGTAGACGAGATGACAAGTCCCGTGAGGGAGGGTGTGGGGGGAGAGCACTGCTGCCAGATGTTTTCTTATCTCACTATCCTGTCAGGTATTTAGTCCTGATTATAAAGAATGACCTATTTTGAGACATTTTTTGTTTATAAATGGCAGACAATGAACTTACAATGCATTTTATGGAAGTAATACACTACTGCTTAATTTTGATTTAAATTTAATTCATAATCAACATGTGCCGAACTTTTAGACCCGGCATGCTGTTTGTTTTTTTCCTTCCATTTGCACATTTGAAAGATGCATATTTATAACGTGATCTTGTAAAATCTTGAGCTGCTTTCTGTAGGTATTGCACTTGGGAGTAATGCTAGGCCGTTAGCTGAAATGTTACTAAACTGGAATTGTGTTCTCTCTCTCTCTCTCTCTCCTCTTTAGCCTCCACCTCAGATCTACGACAAGCAGCTGGATGAAAGAGAACACTCCATTGATGAATGGAAAGGTGAGTGCTGCTCATCCGGGCTAAAAATAAAAACTCAACAAAGCACACATATGGTAGAACGATAAAAAGCTGTATATTATATGTGCAGTAATGCACTCGATTGATGTAATTTTTTAGTGTTACCATGCATTCGAATGATCTTGTTTTTTAGTAGTTAATGGTAATATGAACACTGTCTGCATAGATGGGTGCAGATTGCACATATTTTTGTCACTTAGTGTGTTCTACTACCTTTTTTCGCACCCCTTGCAGAACTTATCTACAAAGAGGTGATGAACTTTGAGGAGAGAACGAAGAATGGCGTTGTGAAGGGACAACCTTCACCTTCAGGTACTCTCAGTGCATAAGCCTAACCGCTCTGTAAGTGAATTTAATATAACCTTACTGGAGTTATCCCTTGTAATTAGAAAAACCCATTGTGCTGTTGACCACATGTCTCTGTCCCTTACATCTCAAGTTAAATGTTGTTCAGTTCAGTGATGTCACTTTGTGCCTGATGATTTGTAAAGATTGCTATTCTGTGATTGCTAAAATTGCTTCGTAGTACAGGTTAATTCAAATGCCTTTATGATTGTATGTTTATATGTATTACATTGCTGTGTCTTAAGCTTTGGGTTTTGAGGGGTCTGTCTCAGGAAATGTCAGTCTTAGACTTGGCTATAAATGCCCTCAGAGGACAAAAACTGCTATTCTTATGATGTGCCACAGGATGGCAGTATAGAGTTACTTTGAGCATACTAACCAGCCCAGTCAGCATTTGCCGAGATCCATCTGAAAAAAAAAGAAAGAAAGCTGCACTGCTTGTTCGAAACCACAACCACACTGCATGAAAACAGTAAGAAGACTGAAAACACAAGGAGAAGAAATTAAACAGAAACAGACGGCTCAGATCAGAGAACACCTTTCTGGGTGTCCTCTTTCAGTTTATTGTACAAAAGCGAGTGGGATTTTCCCTCTTAGAAAACTTATAAATCATCTCTCACCATAAGCCGGGCAACAAATATCCTTAGTGCCAAATATAGTTAAATAACATGGTGCTCGTTTTTGCTCTGTCTCTCTCGGCCCGTCTCTAGAAAATTCACGAGCTTCATCTTTCTTCTTCTTTCTGTCTACTTGTAATTAAGCAGATGGGCCGCTGTATAGCATCTGACGCAGTGCAGGAGCTGCAGACGACAGTGTCTCATTGCAGCATGAGGAGAAGACCTGCAATCACACACAGTCAGACCCACTTTGTGTGTTTAGATTATGATATTTTTAATGATGTTAACAGAAGATTTTTCAGCCCAGTGCTGCAGTATTTATTTGCACGACACCGTGCATTATCTCATTATCTCCAAGAAAATGAAGAAATGAGCAACAGTTTAGTGAGTGTGGAAGATATGCGTGTGGGCGTGACGCTGTGATGTGATTCAGACTTTAATCACATATTACTGCTTTTGCCACAGTTTCTGTAAAGGTTAATAATATGAGGTAATGACTTAAACTCCCATCTTATATATCGCCGTGTAACTAGTGTGGATTATTGCACGGTACAGTACTTTATGCTGTGCTCCTCTCACACATGAAGCTTTAACCGTCACTTCTGATTAGTTACCCTATAAAACCGATGCGCGCTATTAATCTTGCTTTATTTAAACAGTTACTCCCAACAGGAAACAGACAAAAACAGCAGACTCACAGCGTGCAAGTCCTCTGCACAAATTACTGCATTTGGTCTGTTTCCTGCATCTGCTTTAAAGTCTTTTTTTAAAGGCTGACAAAGCAGGAACCAACTTCATAGAGGTATAAATTGGTCGCTGCGTGCTAATAGACAGAGCATGTACTCACACACACAGTTCCAATTAGGCTTCTGAGGATGTTGGAAACAATGTAATTTTTTTTTATGCATAATATCATTATGTATATTATTTATTAGATCATTAATGTTCAAAAGCAGCAGATTGCTTTTGGGGAAGTACCCCAAGTTCCCTAATATGCATACCTCTGACTTTAAAGCAAGGTGATTATAAGATTATTAATATTAGATTATTAGTCTACCATGTAACCAGCTATATAAAACAAGGACCTGGCCACCATCTCTTCACCCACCAGGTTTTGGACCATGGGTCTTGAAGTTTCAGCATTACTGTGTCCAGATGAATACTCTAGTTATGGATGGATACCCCACCTCATACCCCTAGAATCTATCCATAGAGGGAAAAATCTATTTTGTAATGGGCTGTAAATATGCTTTATAACATTGGGCATCTATGGGGACTAACTCACTTTGGGAGCCAGGTTAAAGGAATTGGCACTTTTGTGTTGGCTTTATTTTCAGCTCCAGAGGTTGCCATTTGTTACACACACAGACACACAGACCTGTATGAAGACATAAATCATTTTAAGGTATATAATTCATAAGCCACGCTTATGAACTGCTGAAACACTGAAAGCCTTTAATGATATTTCCCGTGGAGCCTCCCGGACCCAAAGCTTAATTATCTTTGTCTCATTACAGATGCACTGTGATTGTGATGCCCCACAGATGTTGTAAATGTTGTTGACATCTCTATCTAATGGAACAGCTAATCATGAATCAGCATTTATCTCACTCTAACCTGTGTGTGCACTTGTATATCTCCTGCGACTGTTTCTCTGCTCGCGTCTTGGCCAGGACTCTTTTACGTTGTAACCCCCCGCTGCTGTTGATTCCCTTAGCACAGGTGCAGCCGTGAACAGCAGCGAGAGCCTCCCTCCCTCCTCCTCAATCAACGACATCTCCTCCATGTCCACCGACCAGACCCTGGCCTCAGACACTGACAGCAGCCTGGAGACCTCTGCAGGACCCTTGGGGTGTTGCAGGTGACTAGCCGCCTGCCTGCGCAACCCCATGTTCTTCCGAAGGTGAAGAACCCAACAAAAACGACCGCCGGAAAATACGACGGCAAAAGAAAAAGACAAAAAAAAAAAAAGAGTAAAGATCAAAATTAATATATTAAGAACAAAAATATGAGATATAGGAATCTGAATTTATGAAATCTAAAGCCTGTGCATTGTCACTGAAAAACAGCAGCGGTATTCAAGTAAATGAGCTCAGATATATGTTAATGATCCTCTAGTTGCTTTGCTTATATTACCCCTCATATTCTTGTATATGGCATCAGATCAAAATGACCAAGCGCTTAGACTTGCATCTCCTGTAAAGTGCATATTGGCTGGCAGCTGGTCTCCCAATTCCTTACAGACAAAAAAAAAAGCAACCAAAAGAAAAGCATTTATGCTCCGATCATTGTGGCAAGGTGGGCTGCCATTTTTGCTCATCACTACTGCTAAATGGGGACTTTCCTCTCCTTCCTCCCCCAGCCCCTCTCCCCTATTCAGCTCTTATTTAATTACACTGCTGTATTTTAACATTGTGTGAGACACCGCCACCTGACCCCCCCCCCCCCCCCTCACCCCAAAAAAAGGCTTCCTGATGTGTTTTCATGTGGTAACTCTGCAGGGACACGTTCCTGCTGTTACCAGGAGTGACCCCCCCTCCCCCCCACCGTGGTAATTTGTAAATATTGTAATTCTGTACAGCTGAAGGGCACACAGAGTGGGACTGACGGCCAGTAAACTGGGATTTTTTTCCTTCTATTTTTCCGACTAGCACACCTTGCCACATCATCGCTTTCCACCTCAGTTGCCCCTGCCTATTGCTGTAGTCCTGCATGATTAGATTTAAACAATGCTAATCTCACTGTATGCTAACGAGTCTATATAGAGACTTTTGTTTATATACAATGTAAACTAACTGGGCACAGTAGGACGTGTGAGTGTGTGTGTGTTGGTGGACCACAGGCAAGCCAATAAGACACTGATAAAAGTGGGGGCTGTTTAGGACGTAAAGGGCCAGTACACACAGAAATAAGTTATTCTGATTGTGCTCAGACTTCACGAGACAGCCTTCAAGAAGTCTAATTTGTGTGTAATGTCCCTTTTTATTTCCCCTGGCAGTGTATGATCGGTCCTTTAACCACAGCCCTGCATGTCATTGTTTATCATTAACCCCTCACAGGCACAGGAGTTGGATCGGTTTCACTGTGGAATAACCACAAAGAACCTTTTCCCCTTTTTGTTTGACTCTTTAAAACATAGCAGAAGTGATACAGTGCTGAGTTTTTAAGACAGGTGATGAGTGTTAACCTTGTAGCTATGGCTTTATATCACCACACACCACACAAAAATGTCGCGACACGAGAAAGCACCCATTAAACGATGTCAGAGGCGAAAGATTCTTTAATTTATTGATTTATATATTTTTGATAGATGGAATCTGAACATGGCAAGTGCCTTTTGGAATGAAGCATTGCAGGTGCAGAAATGATATATTTTTGTTTCCCTCTGTTTTTTCTGGTTCTGCCTTAAAACTGTCTGAGCCCCAAAGCTTAACTGTTTTCCTCGGTGTTTCCATTAAAAAAAAAACATCCCACAAATTTTTCTTTTTACATTTTAATTTGACCTCTTTGTTTTGTTTTGTTTAATTTCTCCTACAAATTAGCTATATCTTCTCTAGCTGGGGTGCAACGCTCAAATATTCACATGCAAAATGCATTTGCACTTTGCAAAGGCTTGGCAGCTGTACTGCTCTAATCTCAAGTCACATCTCACGTTTATCTGTGCAAACTCAGTGTTCTTAAATGAAACAAGAATATAAAACAGTTTTTGGCAGACTGAAATAAACTGAGCTCCACTATGGCAGAGTTTATTTCACCCACTGTGAACCTGCATGGGCAAGTTAGGGTAATTTGGAGTAGTAAGACCTTGGAGCTGGATTTATATGGACAAAACATACATAATTCCCTACTTTAGGCATATTTTGTTTCAAAAGGTGTTTTGCGATGATCCGGTAAATGACAGCAATTAGGTCAGATGAAGAACACGAATGCTCACACTGACTTATTGGAGCCTCCGCATGTATGAAATAGATTCAGTCGCTGCCATGACTTTAAGGAGATGTGGAGACACCGTTGCCACATATTTATTTCAGTGACAGTACAAGTCTGTAACCTTCAGTTCAGCTGCTGCTGCACAATGACTCTTTTTTGGAGTTGTTTTGTGTACAATCGCTCACAGTCCTCCACGTTATGGAGATAACTTCAAAAAGCTACTTTGTTAACACTCTTACTCCCTGTGGCTTGTGTATAGTGAACCACACACAGACTAACAGACTAACCTTCGCAGAGCTCAGAGGGTAACTGAGGTTGGCGTCTCCAGAATAAGCTATGGCTAGCTTGGCTTTTTGTTCAGGGTCTGGCCAGGGCAATCTTTTAAAACAGGGTGCAACTTTGATGAAATCTTTTGTGTTTAAAAAAAACGTTTTGATGAATTTCTCACAAAAGGGGCGCAGAGTCGACCTCTACACCACAAACACACAAGGTACTGTTGCAGTTTTTTCTACAGGGCATTTCTAACCATCCGAACACACTCTTCTTTCTCTATCTTTATACGTTCTGGTCGCGGAGAACAAACACTAACATTGCTAATGTGTTTTTTTCCCCCAGTTTTTCTGAATGTGAACTGTTTGATCTTTTTATAAGACATCCCTCCAGACAATTCTGTTGTGATAAAAGGAGCTTTAGTTCGGGTAAATAAAGAAGGAGATTGAGCTGGATTGTCAGCAGTGAATGTAAAAATGAACGGTTTAACAATCACGCACATCATTGATGCTCTGCTCATCAGTGTGTGTGTGTGTGAGAGAGAGAGATTAAATCAACCAGCATTCAACACAAGCTGCGAGTCTGAGTTGAAAGGTGTGATGTGACGTCTGGAGAAATGATTTTGCAACACATGTCTTCATTTTTTTTTTTTGAATTTTAATACGAGATCATAACTTTTGTGCAATTATTTTGAAGAATGTCAATGGCGAGTAAGCACAGTTGTGTGTTTAGTAGTAGTTCATGTGTGTATTCATGTTCTGTCACTTTGAATTGAATTAGAAAACCACTGTCATTCCAGCTTCTAATTTTTGGGAGGGGGTCTTAAAATGACCTCTTATGGATTCATACACTATGAAAAATGATTACATGTCACACGTTGTACACAGCTGTGCCAACTTAAAAAAAACAATCTTTGGATCTCCAGCTTGGCAATTTTCACCTTTTTCTTTTAACTTCTATTGTAAATAATAACAGTTCAACAATGCAATAAACACTTTATTGCACTCAGACAGGGAGGCAAGCTACTGCAAGGGGTCGGATGCTAAAATGTTTAGAGTCTTAAATGTGGAACTCTACAATGACGAAACCCTGTATAGCTCATCTGAGTCAGGTGATGTTGTTATTCAGTTCTTTTCTGATTCCTTCTCTCTTGTTTCTTTTACTCCGTGCTGTTTTAATGAATCATTCCTTTGACATTGTCAGGTTTAAAACAAAAAAAAATTCAAAAAGAAACAAACAAAAAAAAAAAGAAATGGTATTGTTTCAGGCTGATCTCGAAGCTTCAGGCTATAGCGTTTCAAGTAAAGTCAAAAACAAATGCAAAAGAAAAAGAAAAACTTACTGAAAGCTGTTACTGTAAACACATTTTAAAGGAACTGTGTATGTAAAAAATATTATGTATTATGTATGTGGTTGAAAATAAACAAAACCTTTGACCTTGGGCGTTCGTGGACCTTTTCTTTTTACCTGGAGACAAATTTAAATGCACTGCAGATTTGTTTCAGGCCTTGCTGTCGATAGGAAGCATTTATCCAATCTGTCACTGTGACTCCTACACAGAATCTAATGTGCTTTCAGGCACTTTCAGGTGGATACACAATCTTAAAGCAGAGCCATTAACTAGTTCTCTGACAGAGAAAAATAATGTAGCATGAGAACAAGTGCACTGACCTTTCTCAGAGTATACCAATGAAATGAAACGCACTCGATGGCCACTTTATTAGGTCTACTTGTTTAATAACGCAAATCACTGATCAGCCAGTCAGTGGGGCAGGATGTCAGTGCATTTAGGCATGTAGATATGTTTTACATTACTACCTTACATTTAAACTATGCATCAGAATGGGGGTGAAGGTTCATTTAAAGTGATTGAAAATGTGGCTTTGTTGTTGGTGCCAAACCACGTTCCAAAACCATTTTTAGAGTTTACAGAGAATGGTGCAAAAAAGAGAAAATATCGAGCGAGTGGCAGTTCCCTGAGCAAAAATGCCTTTTTGATACCAGAGGTCGGAGGAATATAGTCAGACTCCTTAACATGCAGACAAGTGCAACTAAAGAAAAACATTCATTACAACTAAGGGATGCAGAAGAACATCTCTGAATGCACAACATATTAAACCTTGAAGCAGATGAGCTACACCTGTTGACACACCTGTAAACCTTAAATGGGAAACAGAGGCCAAAATTGAACAAGGGGACACTGGAAAATGTTGCCTCCTCTAATGAATCTTGCTTTTTGCTGCGATATGCAGATCATAGATTCACAATTTAGGATAAGCAACATGAAAGCATAGATGCATCCTGCCTTGTGTTGACGGTTCAGGCTGCTGCTGGTGGTGTAAAAGACCTGAGCGTTGTTTAAACACCACCTGACTATTGTTGCTGACCCTGTCCATTCCTTGGACCAAAGTGCGTGTTTCTTGAAAAAGAGTGCACTGTACAAATGGCCAGATCTCAATCAGAACGAGGAGCCAACAAATATGCAACAACTGTGTGATGTTATCATGTCAACATGGACCAAAATCTCAGAAATGTTTCTAGAAATTATTCGATGCCACAAAGAATTAAAGCAGTTCTGAAATCAAAAAAAGTAAAAGGTGTGTAGTGAGTGCAGATATAATTTCTAACCTAGCCGTGCCTTTTGTGGTAAGACAGTAGGCAGCATCGCTGGGCATGACTACTTTTGGCAATTTAATTTTTTGCATCAGCTAATACTAATACTGATTTCTCATGTACTTTGTTAGCAGCAGAAGAGATCAGACACTTGAGATTAGCAGCACAGGAGGCCTCGAGGAAGTGGGTTTTTTTTATTTTAGTAATAAGTCTTGTAAATCTTTACAATTCTAGTTTTTTAAAAGTGAATATTTTCCACTTTTCTCCAAGTTAAATGACTCAAAATAGTTTTTCCCTCTAAACAAAAATAACAAATAAAAACAGCCCTGACTGTCCGCCCACTAATTGTGTTAACGTGAGGCCAATCAGATGTTCTGCCTCGTCTTCAAACATTATTCTGACATTTGAAAAGGAAAAATTTCAACAGACTTGCATTAAAATCCATCTTTATTCATATTAAGTCATTTTTAAAGTTCCTTTGTGTATCAAGTATTGTCATGAAAACATTCCACTATCCCCGTCCACTCCGTCTGGCCCTCCATCCATAATCCGCCCTTTTGTGTGGAATTCACAGAACGAGGTGACACTGTCAGCTTGGCTTAAGCCCATTATTTCCCGGTGAAGGCTGTGAAATGAGAAGCGCAGGCTCCCCTCTCCCTCCTTCACTTGTTCAGGCACTTTTTTCTTCTTCTTTTTGACTCCATATGCACATTCCAGATGTCCTGCAATGACCAGCAGCAGGTTTAAAAAGAAGCCGAGCAGCAGGTCCGCGCACACGTGTACGCACCAACTCCTCTCTGACGCAGGTCCATTCCTGGTCTGATCTATCAGAGGTGTCCCGTTTTGTAATCATTCGCAAATCCACATCATGTGCAGACATTTGGTTTCGGGCTACATAAATACACTTCATCCATATACAGTCACTTTACAAACATTCAGTTAGTGTATGCCGACCCTCGTAGACTCATGCAACCATCATGCACATACCACTTATTACTGAATTTTGCTGCCAGGCTGATAATGTCATCAAATTAGAGGCTTTAAAATCCCAACTATTTCACAGTTATGACCCACAAACGTGTGCTGGCCTCGAAAATCAGCAAACTATCTTTAAAAGCGGCATGCCATACAGTTTCTTATCTGAAATTCTGAATTCAAGACTTAAAAGATTTATGCCAATAACCCACTGTGCAACACCTTGAACTGTACTCTAACAAACTACAAATCATTCTTCAGTATCAACTCAATTCATGCCATATCCATCTGAATATCAGTAAACCACAATGCAAACTATCTAATCTAGTCACGTCTGCATTTATCTATACAATATTTACAGTACAGGCTCTTTTTCTTTTGGTCATGGGTAAATATAACAGCACAGAAGCACATAGACCGACAGAACATCCAGTACCAACTTGCAGAGACTAAACAAACATTTAAGTGCAAAAGAAAAAGAAAAAAAAACTGATAGAAAATAGCACACTTTTATAGCTTTGCTTAAATATCACAAAAACAATGAAGTGTCAGTTTTACTTCTCTTTACAACATATGACATCTTTGACATGAGCAGATGCAGAAATATATTGAACACTAAGGTGTGTTTTGGTTAGATGGTAAAAATGAATAAAAAGGAGGAGTTCGGTGTGGTCTTTTCTGCATTTTCAGGTCCAAGGTTGGTGTTGGTATTGTTCTTTTTTTTTTACATTTTGTCTTCCCTTCTATCTCGGAGCTAACATAAAATGGTAGTACCATATGTCCTCATAGGCTGTTGTGTACTGTCCCTTTGCTCCATTTCCCAGCCAGACAACTGAACAAACCCCAACCACTTCTGGGAGACTGGAGTGTGTCCATGAGCGTCTGTTTAAATAAGGCTATATACAGATAATGTCACTCTGGCATCACTCCAGGTGATGTTTACATTTATAGAGGTGGCTTACATCAGCCCTATATCTCCTATTTCTTAAATTAAAACGTGCCGTTACCCTTTGCAGTGTGTTTTCCCTCCTTCGATCAGCAGCCAAATCTTGTTTAGAGTCTCTCTAAAGTTCACGTCATTATAATAACCCAGTTCCTGTCTTGGCTGCCATCTTTTTTCAGCCTTCCTTCACTGTATCCAGATGGTGTTGTTTCGCTCTGGTCGGCGGGGATCGGTGGCTGCGGCGTTGCCAGTTGCGGTGAGGTCACTAAATGTGGAGAAAAACTGTTCCATCTCTTTCTGTAGCATCTGGTTTCGCCGCTCGGCGTCATCCTTGGCGCGCTCAGCGTTGCGCAGCTTGATCTCCGCCATGGTGTACTTCTTCCTCTCCTGGTCCAGCTCCTCGTGCAGGTTCACCATTTCAGTCTCCAGCTCCAAATTACGCTGCTCCAAACTGCAAATGAGGCATACACGGGATTAGGAAAAGATTAGCAGTGCCGTAGTGAACAGAGGATTTGCTCATCTCAGAGCACAAGGGCAGCTGCAGATCTTTTTAATTTTCTTAATGACCTAATGAATTACATGCAACCACAATCTCTGGGGCTGTGGAAGTCTTAGAGGCCCAAAAATAAAATAAAAAAGGCAAATGGCAAACTGATACAGCTCCATAGTTTTCCATGTTAATATAGCCAACTTTAAGATGAATTATAGCTCAAAGAAAAAAGCCCCAAAACAATTCTTTGGCAAATTTCCTCTTTCTTGACGGCTGTATGGGGGCATTTTTCTCAAACTTGATGTTCAAACAGTCTGAAAGCTTAAATAAGTTACGGATTATTCAGGAAAGGGCTATTTTGAGTGACTTCTAGGTGCCTTTTCTTCCTGTTCAGTGTTCAGGTTAGATTGGAGATATCAAACTTTCGCCTATGTGAAGTGCCACCAGTGAAACTCTTCTTTTTGTCAGTATAAACAACTACACATTTAATGCCTGCTACATTGTTACATAAAAAAGAGGTGTAGTTTCAACCATATGTCTCAGTTTTGTTTTTCATTTGCAGCAGAAAATGAAAAACATCTGTCAGCTTGACTCGTAAGTAGAAAGAAATAATTGTATAAAACTACTTACTACTTTTTTCTTTTATTACTTTGGTACAGGATGAATGTAGCAAAAGCTGTAAAACTTAACAAAACACAATTAATGCCCACTTTGACATTTTCCAAAGCCATGCAGTGGGCTGAATTGGAGTCACTTGTCCCCCACTGGACCCCGAGCCTCATGCTTGACAACTTTACAAGCTTGTAGCTGAAGGAACAGAGTGAAAAAGACAGCTTCTGATTGGCTATTTGATCCTCACTGGAGAGTTTGCCCGTTTTGTTGCTTTCCCATTATACGACAAAGCCATGTGGTTGCCAAAGACTAAGGCAGCTGTTCAGACTTGTGTACACTCCTGCTCATTAATGGGAATGCCCATTAATACGATTTTGATTGGTGGTTTCAGTTTTATTTCATCTGCAGCCATCAGCTTAGATGATCTGCCAAAAGGCCACTGTGACCTTTGGATAGTAATGAGCCAACAAAGGGCAGCTGGTGAAGCTGGCAGGAGGTTACAAGGGCTAATGAGATAATGATGGAATCAGGTGAGGGGCATAAAAAAAGAAAAGATGTGGGCAGACAGAGGAGGGTGCAGTCACTGAGGAGGGTGCAGTCACTGAGGAGGGTGCAGTCACTGCCAGTGAACTTGAACTCTGCGTTTTAATGAAGTGGTGAGATGTTGATTTATAGAGTGGATCCTGATGCTCTAGAAAGGTTTATTCACTGTCTTCTTGTGAAATGGAGGGAATGGTGGACGTAGTAAAAAAGGAAAGAAGACACAGAGCTGGGTGGAGGATGTTATGTTTTATCACTCATGTATGTCTCAGTCAACCTGTAGCGGATGAAGCCTGCTGCACTAAAAGAAAACAGTGGTCTCTTAGAGCCACCCATGCAAAACAACATTTTAAAGCAGGTTTATAGTTGGGACACATTTTTTTCCTGTTCACTGCTGGCATAATACAGAACAAAGTAAGGCTTTGAAGAGCTGTAGCATCTGACTAACGTGTGCCAGCTTTTCATATCCACAGGAAGGAAAAATTCAAAATAGGGACTTGGTTTTTTTAAGTGCTAGATTAAGAGAGGTAGCCTGCACCTAACCTCATTTTAAGATTTGAAATTTCCTTTTTTCTCTTTTGATGTGACTGATCTCTACTGGTCTAAACCTTTGAAGATGACAGTAAGGTACACAAGAAAACCTCACTGGTTTACATGCCTGATCACCTGAGAAAAAAGATGGATAGTTTGCAAAAAAGGCCAAAGTAAAGATTAAGCGCTTGTATTGATTCAAGCCCTTCACACATGGAGCCGTACCTTTTTATCCTGGCCTCATACTCGGCCTTCTGCTTGTGCATTTCCTGCTTAAGACTGGCCACTAGACTGTGCAGAGCGCTGTGGTTGCCGGGTCCGTTACCAACAGGAAAACCGTCGCTGTTATCACTGCTGCTCGTGCCCCGACTGCTCCTCCCAACCTCTCCACTTCCTTCTCTTTCGCCATTTCTGCCCTCTCCTCCTTCGCCAGACTGGGGATGCACGCAGTCTTGTGCTGGTCCATCCAAGACTTCGTAGTGCCCTCCATAGAAGTCCTGCTCTGGGCAGGTGGTTGTGGAGGAGCGACAGGAAGTGGAGTTGTCAGGGAGGGAGATTTCACAGGAAGAAGTGGACCAGGTGGCACTGTCCACACTCTGCTTGTCCTCGCAGCTGGTGTTCAGACATGTGTTGGCGATCTGGTTCTGCTGCTGCAGGTTGTGATGGTTTAGCTGCACGTTATCGTATGTGGACAGACGATTCTGATTGGTTGTCTGATCTCCGCCGTGGCAGTCACGAGCTTTGCTGTTCTCCCGTAACATTACACAGCCATTCGGCTGCCAGAGGCTGTTGCGGCTGTTCGGACTCCCTGTGACAGCGTCAGTCCCGTGAACGCCCATGCGTACAACTCCAGTCCCATTCCCTGTAGCGCTGTTTCCACTCGTGACGCCGCTGGTGCCCATTTTTGTCCCCGAGCCTTTGAGTGTGCCACTGCGACGCACCGGTAAGCTGCCACCTCCACTCTGGCTCTTTTCCACAGTGGGATCTGAAGAGGGTGAGGAGCTGAAGGACCCATTGGTAACAATGCCACTGCCTTTACTAAAAGCTGGATTCTTTTTAACGGTCAGCGGTGGACTGCGGGTGACGTCGAAGCGTCCCATGACTCCATTGCGGGGACTTGCCGATCGTGGGGAGCCACTGTTGTCTGCGTGCTGACGGTGTGAAGGAGACTCGTTGGCTTCCCAAACACACTGCCGCACAACATGTGTGTTGTTGTTCTCAGCATTCTGAGACACTGTAGTGATGGCTGAGGTAGATGTAGTGGTTTGTCGCCGTGGCTGTTCAATATTGTTGTTGACGAGCTCGAGGGCAGTAGGGCTGTCTTCATCTCGGGGGAAAAGCACGTCGTGGTGACCAATCAAAACAGCCATGAGCTGCTGGACCAGAACAGTACCTAAAAAGAAACCGAACATCATCATCATCTTTCTTTTAAAACCAACATTCATCTTATTTAAGATTTAAAACTAAATATTAAGAAAGTAAGACACGTATACCAGACATTCTTCAACACTCACCTTCCATAATTGCTACTGGATCCTCAATTTTTGGCCTCAAGATATTTGGCCCAAAGACTGTGGCCAAGTTTTGGACACTCATTTTATTCACCCCTGAATATGACTGGACTTCATCAAGAAACCTAGGGAAATGGAAAAGATCAGCTTCTCATGGTTCAACAATGTAAAACTGTATCCAAAGTTAATTATCAGTACCTGCAGATGTATTTTAGGAGGTTGTAGTTCACTGGAGGTAGACTTTCCACAAGCCTTCTCAATTCCTTCATACCCTGCAGATAATAAACAGTTTTAAAGTAACAGTAACTCAGCAAAATAATCATTCATAGAAACTTTTGCAACAGATTGTCTGTAAAGCCCGTGATTGATCATAGTGTGTATAATGAAACAATCACACCCAGGATCCAGTGGGAAATGAATCAGTGGAAAAGAGGGGGGTTTATGTAAATATATGCTCACTGGTCACTTCATTAGGTACACTTATTTAACAAACATCTGAACAATCAATTCTGTGGGAAGAAACTCGAAGCATTCGGGTGTTTAGATACTGTCAAGACTGTTTTGAGCTGACGGGAAAGCAACGGTAACTCAAATGACAACTTTTTACAAACAAGGAATGCAGACGAGCATCTCTGAATGCACAGTACAGTGAACGCTGAAGCAGATGGGCAACAGCAGCAGAAGTCACTGTGTGCCCCTCCTTAACTGAGAAAAGGAAACTGGGGCTACAATTTGCATGAACTCGCCAAAATTAGACAATAAGATCTTGGAAAAATCGTGCCTAGTTTGCTGAATCTTGTTTTCTGCAGCAACTCTCACATGAAAAGGTCTGAATTTGGCAGGATGAAAGCATGGATCCATGCTGCCTTGTATCAGCTGTTCATGTTGCTGCTGGTAGTTTAATGGCATAGGGAATATTTTCTTGACACATTTTGTATCACCCTTAGAAAAACCCAAGTATTCCAGCTTTATATTTAATGAAAATCCTTTTTGCTCTCGATACAAAACGGAGACTAGAAAAAGCAAACCAGATATAAGAGGATTTATCATTATACCCATTTATAAACGATCTATATGGATGTGCCACTGAATCAGAAGTAGTCTCAGTTAGGTTACTGAGAATAAAGGATATGTGGAAACGCTCTGAGGCCTTTTCACATAAAAAAAAA